ACGGTAAGTTCTCAACCACATAACAAATGAAAAGAAGTCAACTGATTCTGCACTGCCTGGCTACCTTAACGCCTATCACAGGTGACCAGCTACGTAGCTATAAACTGTCAGTAACCTGATTCATATACTTATGGCTGAAGATGCATATATATGGGAAATCCTGATAGAGCAGAGGCTTAAAATGGTGATGGAAAATGAGAGTGATGCCTTATTTATAATAATAAAAAAACCCCACCAACAAAAAAAAAGAAAAAGGAAGGCTAAAAGAAGATGTTTCTGTTGTTAGAAAGTTATTAACATTCAAGGATCTTAAACTGAAAGATTTCAAATTTCACAAAGCAAATAATCTCAAAACTGCCTCTTTGAGTTAAAGTACATGGAAGGGCACTAGTTTATTTTATATGGTTAACACACTGGAATCATTCTCAATTAATACAGTGTGTCCTTGTTACAAAATAGTTGTTTATTTGAGTCTCAGCCAAATATAGCATCAAATGCATAGAGCACAGGGTTTAAATATGAATATATACCCCCACTGCGATGCTTTGCTCCCTGAGACTTTTGGGTACAAGGTCAGCAGCTGATAAAAAAGCAGTCTGGAGATGCTTAATTTAAAACTACGGAAGTGGCTCGAAGAATAGGGTGACGGCACCGAAGGCCGCTGGCTGTAGCGGAGTACTCCTGACCTTGATGCTCCTTGTGAAAGACAGAACGGGGGAGCGAGAGACCGAATGCGCTGTATCATCATGCAGGGCTTTTGTTAGACTAAACAGCCAGGGCAGCAAGCAGTTCTAATTTTAAAATCACACTGGAGGACTAATACTTAATAACGTAGCCTGGCTGTGCTCGACACTAGTGCAGTACCTGGCGAATGCAGGCTGATGGTCAGCCCGCTGTAAGAGCACTGCAGAGTTTTGCGACATGATTTTTTATTAGTGGTGTAGAGATGTCAATTTATTTTGACATAATTAAGCCCCTACGCTGAAATTGTAGTTAACTACCCAAACCAATTTCTAAGTGTATCCCTTGGGCACGGATAGATGGATATTGCAGGGATGTTATTACAGAAGGGTCACGCAAAGTCAAGATGCTACTGATATGGGCTTTTCTTCTTTTGCTGCAAGTTTTGGCAGTGCACAGCAGCCAGCTGAAGACGCTCCTGCGTTTCGGTGTTACCAACAAAAGCAGGACTGCGGGGGTCTGATGCATGCCCGTTGCAGGGTGAGTTTTCTCCTGCACCGAAGGAGTTTGTTTCTGCTGGCAAGAATGCAGGGAGGCCAGGGAGGCACTGACGAGTTTGGATGTACGTTGACCCTGGTCAACGTGAGACTGAAGCACAGAAATTACTGCTCCGTCTGGTAGATAAAGTTCCCATTCTAGAGAGATTTAAGAATCTGCAAGAATTCCTGTTTTAGCAGTATCAGCCAGGAAGACATCTGTTAACTGTGACATGTTGTTTCCCTCCTCCCCCTGCCCCCCAGCATGAAATTCTTCTACCTCTTACTGTTTATATTGCGGTGGAGATTGTAGGCTCTCCTACAAAGCCAACATAAAGCAAAATAATTTCTCCGGGGTAGGCCAGAATTTAAATATGATTAACACAATTAATAGAAGCCATAGAGTTTGTGTTGGGAAAGTACTGAAGCTGCTTTTTCAGAATAATTCCCTGACATGCTGTTATGGGTATTACTTTTAGAAATGTAACAGGGCAGTATATACCCTTTCAAGCTAGGAACTTTGCTGTAAAAAAAACCCAAACCGAAAGCACTTCTCCTTCCCCACAGCTATCTTCAAGGAGGAAGCTCAGCTACTCCTTGAAAACAGCTGAGGACTTGCAGTTAAAAATCCTCTGCGAGTCAGGAATAATTCAGCCCAGTAAAGTTACAAGACTATAAAGCCAATGTCAGTGATGATAAACTCAGGCTCCAGAAAAATGGAGGGAACTGCATGTCGCATATGCTCGAGAGCTAACTGCACGTATTTTAGAGTAAAATCCAAGCAGGACCACACGTTTTGCCTGTCCTATGCCTCAGGATAAAGCCTGTGGTGTTTAGTGATGCAGCATTCAGAGAGACCTCAGCGGAGTTTTACCAGCGGAGAAATCCTGGCCTGCAAAGCATGAGCCGGGCTCCCAGGAGTAACGTCGGTGCATGTAGCCCTATTCCGCAGTCAGCGCTGCAGCCCAGCACCCAGCCTCGCTCATCCACACCGCCGTATGTTCACACTCCCCTCGCACACCTTCTCCCCCCCTAGTTGCTCTGACATCCCTAAGGGGCGGGGGGAAATACCTGCAAGCTTGCAGCTGCCAAGCATTAATGCTAAATGCTGGCCAAGTAACAAAACTTTAATTACAAGCTGCAGCTCTCCACACACACCAAAATGTTCAGCGCTGACATCAGAGCCGCTCTCAGCTGCTCCGGCACTTGCAAGAGGCAGTAAATTACAGCTGTATTCCGCTCAGAACCAGAGACTGGTTTCAATCTGTGTACAGCAGCTCTACAGCTCCACGGTGATTTGGCAGAGGTCTCTCAATACCGCGATGGCTGTGCACACTCAGGAAAAAAACACAGGTTTCTCGCTGGCCTCAGACTGCAATTTGCTTTAATTGCAGCATACACTGATTTTTATATTTGGGGAAGAAAATGACTTGAAATTACAGCCTATTATGCTCCTGTTCACACTGATGTGAACTGCAGGGAGGGGGAATGTCAACTGAGTCCGGAAAGTCTAATATGGATGTGAGTAGAGTCTCCTACATAGCCAATACGGCCCTATATTCACCAGCTCGACGCACGAGCCCTCCTTACCCACAGCCCGAGTTGCAAAATCCTATTTAACCTGCAAGCTCCCAGACACTCCGACACTACCTTTTCTCCCTTCTCGCAGCTGAAGGAAGCACCAGCCCCTTGTGAAATCTCTCAGACAAGCCCTGAAGAACAACCACCCATTCTTCAGTTTCTTGCAAAGCTGTGCAGCTCCTGCGTGGCATCACAGCTATGCTGCTTCGACCAGGGGCAGGCAAAATCCTTGGACAAGAGAGCTCTCGGCATGTGCCAGCTATTCCCACCAACAAAAGAAACACAGCACTTCGTGTCCTTCAGCCCTTTCTTAGATTAGTGCCTGCCTTCAGAGAGGGAGACGCAAGTGCTGCAGACCCTCAGGCAGTGCTGAAGAAGTGATGGCTGGAAAGCAAATTCAGGGGGAAAAAAAAACCAAAATGTGAAATAAGGCATTTTCCCAGACACAGCAGTAATTAACCCGTAGAGAAAATGAAAAAGCAGGGAGACCCTTTTCAATGCAGATGTACTCTAGACAAACAATGACGCTGATTTTAACAACTGCCCTTGAAGTCCATTTTTCACCTTTAAAGCATCTAATCATACCTCTTTCACAATGGAAATCCCCAGTCGGCTCCTTATTGCAATAAAAGTACATCAAAATGCTGTGGTTAACCAGCATATGGAAAAGAAGGGCATCGAACACCCGCTCCTGGGCCTCGGAGACTTCCTCTACAGGACACTATCCTGGCTGTCCTATTTTGACTTGCCCAACCATGTCCATCTCAGCACCAGGTTGAAAAGGGATCAAAGACCTCAGGTGATCCTAGAGGACTCAGATTGCCTGGCGCACGTTCGCAGCCTGAGGAAAGTTGGAAACAGAACCATGGCTGCTAAAGCTATGTTCACTTTGGAAGCCAGTTAACAACATCTTTCTGTTTGAGGGAAGACAGTTCCCTGTCCACGACAATAACCATATCAAAACCTAATAAATATTTTCCCACCCAGATGTAGCTGCCATAAAAGGTTGACACTTTGTGGGTTGGCAGCCAAAAAATAACTTGCTAACCCTGAAAGTAAAACTGGCTGAAAGTAAGCAGAGGACATACTGGACTTCCCACTTGAAAATTTAGCACAAACACAGCCTCAGGGCTTGATTAAGCCTTTCTGTGCAACAGGCAGAACACTCCTGCCAGCAAGAAGATAAGCTTCAGTCTACATGCAACACGTAAAATCCATTTATTTTGAAGAAGGAGCACCCAAGAGCCCTATTATTAAATAAAGACCAGGGCGGGGGGCAGAAAAGAACCTAAAAAGACTGTATCTTTACATCCATTAGTAGTTTCTTAAATCATATCTGTGTTCCAAGTTAAGTGAGGACACAGATGACATTTTAGACCTCAGTGTTTCAAATCCTATCCTATTTGTATATAGGTAAGAGTAATGGGTCACCACTTGGCGGGGGGGGCAGGGGGGAGAAGAAGCTTTTTGCTGCCTACTACTACTTTAGATGTATAATTCAGACAAATACGTGCTCACATGCATATGACGGCACTGCATCTTGCAAAGTCCTGCCAAAATAGCACACCGAAGTCGACAGACTTGGTGCAACCCGAAAAAGGCTACGTAAGTCCCTCACCACAGAAAACATTGAGTTAGAGCACAGATCAAGGAACAGTTATGCATCGGTATTGTTACAGGTTTGGATATAGTGAAAAATATACAGGCTCTGCTCGTAATTGCTGCAATTAAAGGAAGGACTATCCCATGGTGAAATAAATACCTGGGAAACAAACACTCTACTAGACACCAAAGCGCTGTTCCAAGGAGTGAATGATAAGCATCAAGACACAATGCAGCTTCATGACTTCAGAAAAACCCTAATGGGCATCCTCCTATTTTGTAATAGATGCCAATTAGAGGAAGTATAAATTTTCCTCTGAATGCGAGAGAATGAACGCATTGTTTGAACAAGCCTTTCATCTAAAGCATTTATGAAATACAGCGGTAATAAAAGCATTTACTTTTGTAATACCTCCACGAGTTTGTTTTTACATGTCCGGGTAAGTAACTATCATTTAGAACAAAGCATTTCAAACAGCTGTTATTAGTAGCTTAAAAATAATAATAGTCTTCTTAAAATATGGCCAAATATAACCTCAACCTTCAAAATATTGCTACCAAAATTTATCTGTGCTACACCTAATTTTGCGTATCACTTACCATATACGAAGGAAATATTAAAACCCGCTTATGTTTGCCACATGGCCATTGGGGATCATCTAAAAGATTTGGGTCGTATTCAACAAAGTCTCCCAGGTCGCTACCTATAAAACAATGGTAAATATAAGAAAGGAATTCATTACATCAAGAAATCTCTGGACTTAATGGAAGTGGCAAATGAGTTCACAACTAATGCACAAATGATCTTCATGCAAGATTTCTGAAAGAGTCAAAAGATTTCTCTAAATCTTGAAAACTCTACTAATACAATTTGCAAAGATATGGAGGACCTACAGCTTATGGAGGACCTACAGCTTACGAATTACCTGGTAAATGTGAATTTAGGGCTTAGAGAACTGCAAAATTATATAAAGCTCCACAATGACTTTTATTCCCGGCAACAAGTTTTCATCTGTTTATGCAGATGTTTTCATTTGTTTCATTCAACATGCCAAAATATCTTAAGCATATAGTGCTTTGGCTTGTGTTTTGTGCCGGGTTTTGTAAACACAGCCCTTTCCAGCCTAATAAAGGTCACAAGTATGATTTACACCTTCAGCTTATGACTACTGTGTTGCCCCTGTAAATTTTCCATAGCAAAGGAAGGTAATGACGAGCCTGATGCAGGAGGAACAAACAATGCCGGTGACAAGAGGAGGCACGCCGAGTGCCATCAGGGGCTGTCAATATGACCAGCAGTCTTGTTTACTTAACTTTCCACCATCCATAAGCCAGCTTTGCTAAACAAACAGGGAACGAGCTCCGTTTCACCCACAACATGAGACTGTATTTTGCTTAATTTAAGCAAAAAAGGGGGCTAAAACATGACATATGTCCGTCCTTCACAATACCTGCCTATCACCAGGCTACACAAGGATATTAAAACAAGCTTCCTGAGAAGTTACCTGCATCAATGCTCCCCTGGGTGCTGTTAGCTCTTGCCAAAGAAAGGCTACGATGGCTTGCATTGCGAAATTGGGAGAAGGATGAGGTGGAGTCTATCGTGTTTCTCCGAGTTCCCAGAGCGTTGGTGGGAAACAGAAACTGTGTATAAGAAACCGTCTAAAAAGAAAGTCAGAGTGGACAGTTAGTTACTATCAGCCCAGCTCGGCTGCAGCAGGATGCCTTTGGTGCATCCCAATCGGAAGCAAGGGAAGCCAAATTAGCGAAGGATTTTCTGGATTTAATAGTTAGGCACAGATGAATAAACACCAGTCACCTACATTTGCTTCAGTGCAGCCAGTTTATCCATGCAAAAAAAGCTTTTGCAAAGGCATTAATTCTTCAACAAAACAAAACCACAAACACACACACACAAGCTCTAATACACTGGATTTACAAAATCCTACTCAAGGGTCAGATTTAAAAATATGTCAGTTTGGTTGGGTTTTTTTTCAGTGGGCCTTCTCTGTAGCAGGTTTCAGCTGCTTCTTTACTGAAACAGCATCATCTATACGGGCCCCTCAGCACAGAGCTGCCAGAGGCAAATCACTTGAACGTTGCTAAACTTAAGCACTTTCGCTGGTATTTTTCTCCTTTAGGATTTTGTCTGGCAGAGTCTTACTGGTGTCATAAGCGAGCTCCAGTTTATTGCAATGGTTGTGGGAGATCATTTACGCCCTCCCAACATGGACTAAGTGTGAATGAGTAACTTGTGACAAAATTATTTTTAGAGCGTACTGATTCTCTGCTTGTACCCTTGGCCAGGAATAGGCTACGCCTTGCTTCTCGTAGGTTTATTTTCCAAAAATAACATTTTATATTGAAGAAAAAAAATGAGTCTCAGACTCTAGACTGGTTTATGAGGAGGTCAGAATAGGTATCAAATAAAACATGCGAGCTTTCATTTATTTATAAGCAGACAGATTGTCCTCAGGAATTTACAGCCTGTGGTCTGGCCTGACACCTGGTTAGGTGAGCACACCATGTGTAGCAGCATTGACCTAGGGCCTTTAAACCCACATATGACAGCAGACTGGGTAAACTGAACTGTAAAAGGTAAATCAGGCTTTCAGCAAAAAATTATTTCATTTATGATTAAAATTGTCTCTCCTCTATGTATTTCTTTAAAACGGATCACTTTCCCTAAGGATTCATAATTGCTTATTCTATTCAAGTGAATGCACTCTTGGAATATTGCAATACTCATCAGATTTGTACTACTGTCTTCCCGCTCGTTGGAAAAATATACTGTTAGGCAAAATTTATTTTATTAAATAAAGTTGAGAGCAAACAGAATTACAGCTGTTTCTCACCAGAAATTATTTTCAAGCCCCTGACAATATACTCTGCAGTGATACCTCCTGCTAGAGCCAGGGGAAGGCTGCACGATTCAGTAATGCCTTACAGACTCAGATGTTGCCAGAGGCCAATTTCTTCAAGGAGACACAGTTGTCTGCATTGCCAGCTTGGGCAGTCCTCCTGAATTTCTGCTAAGCTTATTTACAGTTTGCACATACTGTGCTTTAACTACTGTGTTACACTGCATGTTGTAATTAATGTTTATATTTGTGCTTGTTATTAGTTAAGACATTTTTTCCCTTATTGCATAAAATCTAAGGGAGTAGGAACTGAAGCATCCCCACCTTCCCATCCGCTCCAAGCTCCACACCTTCAAGACCAATTATCTCTTTCAGACACACTCCAGTAGAATGGCACTGGCGTCCACCATCCAGCTTCATATCCCTGGGAAACAGAAACCGGAGCAGAAACAGCTCTTAATACACACGCCTTGTTCACCTTCCACCACCCAATGCTGAAATAAGTTAGCAGCATTAATCCAAACATACCAATGCAAAGCACAGACCAGACAACTTTTCCTACAGGCAGCACTTCTGTTGTCTAAAATACGTTACAGAGAAAACCCCCACTTTGTTCCAGGTTGCACCTCATACACCACCTATGGTGCAGAGCAAGGTTCCCCATCATTGGGTGCCTCTGACAGAACCTGGCACTGGGAAGGAACTGGAAGTCATATACACTTCAGGTGAGATCAAACAATCCAGCTTGAACACTTGACTGCCACGTATCCAGAGCTGGACGCTCCCAGAGGACATACCCATGTCCCCCTGTGCCGTTGGACAGAGGCAATTGCCTGTGAAAGCCTCTGGGAGGGATTCCTGCTCCTCCGAGCACAGGGGAGTGCCCAAAGCCCAGTGACCCTCCTGCCGGAGGCCGGCAGGAGAAACCCAGCTCTCCATTGCCTTGGGATGGAAACTTGGGGATCTACTTTAGCAGGACTGACCCACTCAGCATCTTGGACGTAAATGAGACGCCTGAGACAACCAGGCTGTATCCCATGCTTTTGCCTCACGATCAAAATGGGAGCGAAGGTAAGAAAGACTATGAGCGAATTTGTGCTCCGCAAAGGACAGCTGAACACAACTCCAGAGTATTTATCTCGCAATATTTTCCTGGCTGATTTCTGCTGAGGTCCAAGTGTGTGCTTAAAAATCTGTGTGGGAGAGATGCTGACACTGAGGCAGGGAGAAGCCCTGCAGGCTTTTCACCCGATTGCAGGGCTGGGCTATCTCCTACTGTGTCTCTGCAAACCCTGTTTTCCTTTCCAACCTGTCACTCATTTTATTTCTCTGAAACATGGCAATCGGTGAGTCCCCAATAAATCATGTACCTTACTGCTGGAAAAATCCAACACGTCTATCTGCTGGAAAACATACTTCTGCGACAAAGGAAAAGACTGTATCAAGTTTCTAATCCCAACAAAGTCCTCTTCGTTTCTTGATTGGGGTTCACTTAGCACAGTGTCACATTATCATTCTTATTTCCTGATATCACGTTACTGAGGGGCTGGACAAATAATTATGTAAAAATAACCCTCTGTCAGAGGCATGCGATTAGCCTCTCCGCTCTTGCGCAGAACTTGCTTAAAGGAACTATTTCTCATAGAGACAAATGCCAAATAGTAATCATTTCAGCAGGTCTCATCTATGAAACAAACACACAACCTGAGGAAGCCCCCAAACCCCAAAATGAAAAAAAATATCTGAATTACCTGAAATAATATCAGAACAGTTTAGTTTCCTTCCACTCAAAACCTTACAGACATAGAGTAAGAAATAATGCCGCTACGACTTTGAAAACAAGTCACGGAGAAATTTCTCCATGCAATTAACAGACAAGAATAGATAACTGTAACTCATCAAATGAAAATCCAGCACCCTTTGAAGAGTCAGCACAGCAGCTTTAAAAACAAAGAGCAGCTCTGGGGACTGAAAAGAAATCAGTGCTGTGGGAGCAGGGTCAGTTGGCACGTGTGAGCGCACACGGGAATGATTCCTGGACATTATCTGAAGATCGATGGACATTACTGCCTCCATTTTCCCATCTTTCTGTTGTTTCTAAAGAAGACTCTACCTTCGGGACCCTGTGAACAACACTGCAGTCATTCTCCCTCATCCTAGGTGTTTCACAAGGGCTACTTAGGGTCTTCCCCTCCTCTACATATGCTCTATATTTCTACGTAGCGTGATTGCTTGTGTTGTAAAACAGAGTAATAAAATATTACTGTTTGGAGAGAAACTTGTCCATAAAACAGAAAATTAAACTCCCTCTCTTGAGGAAAATCAGTACTAAACAATGTGCAGTTTCTTATCAGCGTATAAATGGAAAGGCTCATCCTAGCTTATACACATCCTTCTCTCACTGGTTAAAGATCTCGGTGAACACCTAGTAAGAAATTCCTAGGCGACTTCACTGTATCCTTTTTGAGTTCCCTATCGCTACAATCAACAGCAAGCTAGTCAAGTTTTTGCAGGACAAGCCTTGATTTTTTTCCCTCCCTCCTATTACAGACAAAAAGCTCACGAATGCCTCAGCAAAGCTCTTGCTGGCAGAGCAAGCCCAAGGGCTGCAACCCTGCTGCTGGGGGAGCCCCAGCAGAGCTGCTTCCTCCCCACACCCCCAAAATCCCAAGAGCAACTAGGAAAGACCTGGGGGATGCCTCTGCTCTGCCCCCTCCAAACGGGTGAGTCGTGCCTGAGGAACAGTCAGGACGGTTGTTTGGGTACAGCCACCGCACCACTGCTGCCAACCACTGCCACCAAGTTCTTCAGGATGCATGCCCTCGCGTGGCATCACAGTGAATGGGCCCCACGGGACAGGAGCATAGCAGGATAGGCACTTTATATTAAAAAAAAAAATCAAGCTTTCACTGTGTTTAAGTTATTTAAATTATCGATGGGACTGAGGAACTGCAGAAACCAATATCCAGTAGTAAAAGGTGCTTACAAAATGCAGAATAGGAAAGACGGTCCTTGCCAAAGAGGCTCTTAAGTGAAGAAAACTTCCTTCCTCCTCTTCCTCATTTTTTATTTTCCTGTTTTATTTTCCAAAAGTGCTTTTTAACAAAGTTTTCAAGGGATTCAAGCAGACACAGAAAAGCAAAAATAAATCATGGGAACTTAATTTTACTACCTTCACTTTATTTGAGCAGGGAAAGCTTGAGGAAATGAGAAGATCAGGGATGACATTTCCTTAGGAGGCAAAAAACTAGACCCCAGTTTCTGACAAAGCTTGGGGAGTTACCCTGATTTACATCAGTGTCAAGCTCTAGATGGTCTACTCGTGCATGCCATTTCCAGAAAGCTGAGCAATGTTATAAGCTGCACTGAAAACTAAGCATATTGTTTTATACAGGACTGCAGAAAAAAACGAAAGTTTCTCCACCTAACAGAATTCACAGGTTTTCTTGGAACACTACCAGGTGACTTGGGATCCCACATTTGTGGTGGGACGGTGAGAAGTTTTACTGAGTAGGTAGATAATAATCAAACCAGGAAATCTCACCGTGCCTTTTATTAGTTAGGCCAGGATTAACAGAATATAAATTGGATGCTTTTACCTTTGGAAGTACAACATTTCTTTAATGAATCAAACATTATGCTTTGACGTGATCTACAAAGCCCCATGCAAGACTCCTGCTGGGCACTTGCTCTTTAAATGACAACAACAGTTGAACACTTTAACCTGTGAATAATTTAGGATTCCATGAAATATTAAATAGATTTCTGGATACATGAAAAAGCCTTCTGCTTATTGCGAAAAGGAATCTGATCATTGTTATTTAGAGATGTAAGCCTTAAGCATATATTTTAGGCTTAGTGATTCCTGACTGTTAAGATTTATTCTAAAAGCAAAGGCGGTTCATGAGACATCAAGAAAAGATACTGTTCTTACCTGTCACCGTAAATAATTTCTACTTATCGTCTCTGTTTAGAGGGACAAGGACAATGACAGCTTTGGAAAAGACACGCTGCCAGCCAGTCCAGCGGCAGATCTCCCGCTGCCTGAGACTGCCTGCTTTAATTGATTGAGAGCTTTCAGATCCTAATTGCCATTAGTGTTGCTAGAACAACAACTCCAGTGGCAATTTACAGGGAGAGGAGGTGGAAAAACTCCTGGAAAGATGGCTCTAATGGGCCAGTATCCTTTTTCTCTCTCCAAACATATGCAGGTGTCAGCACGTCAGCTCTTGTCCTGATGTTCTGCCCAACATGGAGTAAAAGTTCAAAATTTAAACCTATTACCTTTTGGGGATTCATTGCTTAATTTCAATCTAAGGGAACAGGGCAACTCACAATAATGTGCAACGGTGGCTCTATGAAATTCATACATGAGATGATTTGTTTTGAAATGTCCTGGTGTGGGGAAAAAAAAACACATTTATGTGCCTTTCTGTAAAGCTAATATGCACTTGGTTTTGGTTTTTTGTTCAATTTGGGAGAAGGAAGGAAAATGGGCAATGGTAAAGAAAAGCAGGGATATTTCAGTTTCCCTATTATCGGTTCAAAACAGATAGTTATTCTTTCCCGGGCCTACGGAATGATAAATGTTCAGGAAAGGCGCTCAAGATTGATGACTTAATCAAAATTGCCTCACATACAAAAATCCACTGGGGAAGAATAGCAAGGAACTGGGTAACAAATCTGAAGGACATCACAGAGTATTCTGCTTTGCTGTGTGCATAATTATTGCTACTACCCTTGTGACAATTTAGATGCTCTCATTTCTCCTGTAAATATTCCCCTGTTTTCCATGCTCACTGCAATGCTTGTTACCTGACCTGCCAAATAACTGACAGCAGGGGTGCGGCGTACAAGACAACCTCACCTAAATGCTTCTTTTTGCCTCATTTTGCATATGACTTTCTTACCCAGTTTAAACACTGAAGACGAACAAAGATTTCAGAGTGTAGGTAACGAAGGCCGTTGGGAATGCCTGGCCTGTGAACTCACTGATCATTGTGGCTACGTGTTATTTGGGGTGACAGTATTGAAAACCTCTTGCTCTCAGCATCATTGAACTCATTAGTGTTCTGGCCAGCACTTAGTTAAATTCAAAGCTAAATTCAGCAATGATTTATCTTTAGAAACTGGATGAAGCTGGTTTGTAGCATTTCTGAGAAGGACACAAATTCTTTTTATCTAACGACTTGCTGCTTTACTTCAGAAGAATGGTCCGTTTCCTGGGCTTCAATCCATTCAATTACTCATATTGCATTATTTCCCTTAACTGGAGGCAAGTTTAGTCAGATGAATACCTATACTCTTGTCAAGACAGCAATATTCAGCAGCTATGCCTGCTGCAGGTTAAGTTTCTAACCACTTGATGAATTCAATGCCATAAAGAATAGAAGATGAGGTGAATTGGCCGGTTTTATAAGGACA